GAATCCTTGATTTCGGATCTCTATTGGGGATTCCGCTTGTTGGGACCAATACCGCCAGGTAGCGGATGGCTTCTGCGACAGGATTCGAAGTTCGCCACACCGTGGACGAGGCAACAATTTCAGTCCTACAACAAGGCCCATACTAGACGCCTGCTAAGTTGCTCCAAGACAGACGAGTACTCCAAGACCATGAGCGCCGAGGTTCGCGAGGAGGCCAAGAAAGCGAGATTCGTTGGGCCATTCACGACTTCATGGGTCGCCGACTGCCTCGACAACATGTTCGCCGCCAAAGCTTTCCCAGTGGTGCAAGGCGACAAGGTCCGCCGAGCAGACGATTGGCTACGCAGCGAACACAATGGAACATGTTGGGCCTCCGACATCCCACCGTACGCAGGGACGTCAACGATAGCATCTACAGTTCGAAGGGTCGCTGTCAGTTCGGACCCAGAGTTGTCCGCAGTGGACCACGAAGGCGCCTACAGGAACTTCCCAGTTCGGAATCCGACAGAGTGCGAGACAGTGCTTCCAGAAGATGGAGATGGCAAGGTTTGGCTACATCAAGTTCTACCTTTCGGTTCTTCGGGATCAGTGTGGAGCTACATCCGGTTCGCCGACGCAGTCTGTTTCCTTTCCATCGCGCTGTTGTTGCTGGCGGCAGCACATTTCGTCGACGACTTTTACAAGGTCGAATCGTCTAGGACTTCGAGGCCCGGTTTTGCGTCGTTCCAGAAGCTTCATCGCATCATCGGCACGAGAATGAAGAAATCCAAGGCAAAGCCGCCATCGAGTGCACAGACGTTGCTTGGAGTGGAGTGGCGAGTAACATCGGATGCCTTGTTCGCGTCGCCGGGAACCACGCGCATCGGGAAGCTCCTGACCAAGATTAGGGACATCCTGAAAGAGGATAGCCTTTCCCCGCAGGAGGCCGCAAAGTTGGCAGGCAAGCTGAATTTCGCTTGCTCGTGGGTTTTCGGAATGTCTGGGAAAGCCCTACTCAAGCCAATCTTCGCACGACAGCAGGCTGGCCTCGACAAACCGTTGGCACTCAGATCCGCCCTCAGGTCCGCACTGCAAGAGTTAGAAAAACTGTTGCCCTCGTTGAAACCAGTTCGAATTCCTCTGCGGCCGCAAGATGAAAAGATCTGTATCTTGTATGCGGACGCATACATTAACATACAGGGCTCACGAAGGGTCGCGAACAGGTGGCTTCGCGAAGGAGTGCCGCGTGACTTGCTGCGAGAGAGTTCGAACGGTTGGGGAGCGATCTTCATACCACCATCCGTTCGCCGACTTTCCTTCCGGTCGGAGGTTCCCAGAGAAGTCTTGAAGCGGACCGCAACGTCCAAGGCATTCATTTTCTGGCTAGAAATGCTCGCACAAGTTTTCGCAGTACTGACAGTTACAGAGGTCGTTCGAGGACACATCCTTTGCTTCGTGGACAACTACGCGGCCGAGCACGCTTTGCGGAAGGGCTTCTCGCGCGACGCCTTGTTCACAAAGGTCCTGGGATGCTTCGCAAGATTTGTCGCAGAAAAGGGAGTGTCGCTGTCATTCCACCGGGTGACATCAGCTGCCAATGCATCGGATGGAGTGTCAAGAGACGACTGGACCGTGTCCGAGGAGCTCCAGTGCAAGAGATGCGAGTTCGACTTCTCGGACGGCTACAAGTGGCTCTCGAGTTTGGCTCAATCGCCGGACTCAACTCTCTTCGCGAAGTTCGCCGAGTACTTGGGCGCGCGAGGAGTGGAGGAACAGCGCGCGTGAGTGGAGTGAGCCGCGCAGTTCGTACAGGACTTCAGGTCGCGGTCGGGAAACCGAAGGGTTCCCGGTCCGCTGGCCACAAAACCGCACCAAGGCTTTTGGGTCGGGACCAAAAAGTCCGTGCGAATAGGTCCGAGCGAGTTCTGTCGCTCTCAGAGAAGCGAAGAAGTGCTTGTCATCCTGTTTTTAGGGTGGCCATCGTCAAGGTTTGCGATTCACCAACCAGCGTGGCCGGCAACTCTGCTTACGGTTTCAGATTTGGCAAGTATTGCCTTATTCTCTTAGAGCTTGGGGCTTGCCTCCCGCGATCTTGAGGGTTTGGGGATGTGCCAAGCAACAACATGTCAGTTTGAGGCTTCAGATTTGTCAGCTTATACCTTATACCTTTATCTTTTGGGCTTGGGGTTTGCGAGCCACGATTTTTAGGGTTTGGTGCTTGCCAAGCAACATGTCTTTTTTTCCCGAGTAACTGATTCCGCTTCCGGATTGGGGTTTTGCCACCAAGCATCTGACAGCCTGCAGTTTGCCAAACAGGATGCCTCATTAAGGTTTCAAGTTTGCCAAGCATTATGTTCGTTTTTGAATGTTTAAGGTTTCCCACTCGCGATCTGCAGGGTGTGGTTTTTTTCGACCCGCATCGTTTTAAGGATGCTGTTCTTCTTTTGGGTTCCATCCGCGATCCTTAAGGTTTGGGGTTGGCCAAAGAACATATACTTGCAAGGTTTTTGGTTTGGCACGGAATTCTTTTTTTGTTCATCTGGGGTTAGGGGGTCGCCAGCCACGATCTTCAGGAATCGCCTCAAGGTTGGCCAGGTAATATCTCAATTTTTAAAGGTTTCCTGTTTGCCGCCCACGACCTTTAGGGCTTGGGGTTTGTGATGCAACATGTTTCTGAAAGTTTCAACATTGTCAGCTGCGTCACGTGCGAGTGTTTTGCTTGGTGATTTCGCGGTTCAAACGTGATTGAAAGCAAGGATTTCGAAGGTTTTCGTGCAAGTACGCGTCATGGGCTAAGGGGAAAGGTTTCAAATTCGCTAGCTAAGATCTTGTTCTGCCAGCGACGATCGTTTGGGTTGGGGATTTGCCAAGCGACAACTTTTCTTTCAACGTTTCAGGTCTGTCAAGGTTTGTCATCTCTGTGATCTTTGTGGGTTTGGGGCTTTGCCTGCGAACTTTCGTGTTTGGGGTTTGTCACGCAACAGCTAGGTTGCTCAGTTTGGGATTCCAACTTCGCCAAGTAATATCTTCTTCGTTTGCCACCCGCGATCTTTAGGGTTCGGGATTTGCCAAGCAATTTCTCCGTTTGGGGTTTCAAAGTTTGCCAACTAATGCCATCCTCTGTCAGGGTTTGGGGGAATTTGCAAGCACGATCTTCAGGGTTTCAGGGTGTGTCAAGTAACAGAACTCTTGGTTTGAGGTTTGGGGTTTGCCACCGGCGATCTTTTAGCATTTGGGATTTGCCAAGCAGCATCTCTTCCTGACAGCTTCATGTCTGTCCAACTAATATCTTCTTTTTGGGGGTCTGGGTTTTGCCTCCCGCGAACTTTCAGGCTTGGTATTTGTCAAACAAGATCTCCTTCTGAAGGTTTCACTCGATCCTTGAGGTTTGAAATTTGCCAGGCAACCGTTCCTTTGAAGGGTTCCAACTTGCCAACCAATACCTTCTTGTTCTTGAGGGTTTGGGGTTTGCCAACCACAATCCCCCTTTCAGGTTTCAGGTTCGCTACAGAGGAATTGGTTCGTCAGGGTTTGGGATTTGTTACCCACGACCTGTAGAGTTTGCAGGTTGTCAACCGAAATCCCCTTTTAAGGTTTGAGGTTTGCCAATTAGTATCTTTTTCTTCAGGGTTTGGCGTTTGCCACCCGCGATCTTTAGGGTTCAGGACTTGCCAAGCAAAATCTCTTTCGAAGCATCCAGGCTTGCCGGGAAATGTATTCTTCTTTTAGGGTTTGACGCTTGCCGGTCGCGATCTGCAATATTTGGGCTTGCCAGGCAGCATCTCTTAAGGTTTCAGACTTGCCGCGATCGTTAGGGAGATTGTCCAAGCACAAACTTTTAGGTTTTCAAGTTTTTCAAGAGATATGGTCTTTTGATAGGGTTTGCGGTTTGCCACCCACGATCTTTAGGGTTTGGGTTTAGCCAAGCAAAATCTCCTTTGAGGATCCAGATTTGCCAAATTTGTTCCTCGTCTGTTGCGGTTTCCGAGCATTATGGGTCGGGTGTGCCAACCAGCATTTCCCTCGAAAGTTTCAGGTTCGGCAAGCAATACCTTCCAATGTCAGGAGTGTGGAGGTTTGCCACCCAGGGGATGTTCTTTGACGGTGTGGGAATTGCCGAGCTTTTACGGTTGTATTGGGGGTTGCCATGTAATAGTTTCTTCGCTTGGTGTTTGGGGTTTGCCACCCACGATCTTTAGGGCCGCCTTTTCTTCAAGGCTTAGGGTTTGGTAGCTTTGGAATTTGCCAACCAACATCTCGTTGGCAAGCTTCAGGATTGCCAAAGTTTCAGGCTTTCCAGTTGACATTTTTTTGAATGTAGGGTTTTGTGGATTGCCGCCTACGATCTTTTCGCGTCGGCATTTTCTGAGCAATTTTGTGCCGAATAATATCTTATTGCTTTAGTTTGGGTTTTGCCACCAACGATTAGGAAATTGCCCACTAATGCAATCTTTTTTTCGGTTTCGTTTTTTGCCACCCACGTTGTTTAGGGTTTTGTTTGGGGTTTGCAACCCACGGTTTCATGCTACCCAGCAAGATCTTCTTCTCTTGGGCGTTTCGGGTTTGCCGTGGCAGTAGCAATAGCAGTAGCAGTAGCAGCAGCAGGAGCAGGAGCAGGAGCAGGAGCAGGAGCAGTAGTAGTAGCCGTAGCAGTAGCAGTAGCAGTAGCAGTAGCAGTAGCAGTCGCAGCAGCAGCAGGGGCAGTGGCAGTAGGCGGTAGCGGTATCGATAGCAGAAGCAGCAGCAGCAGCAGCAGCAGCAGCAGCAGCAGCAGCAGCAGCAGCAGCAGCATCAGCATCTGTGCTTTGTGTTTTGTCCTTGGCCGTTGTTGGAGCTGCTTGTTTTCCTGCGTTCCGCTCCATGTTTCGCGAATCTTCACCTACGTTGGTAAACTTGTCGCCAGTGTTTTCTTAAAGTAGTTTCCACAAGTTCCTACTTTCCGAATCGGCCCGCCGTGTTTTCGAATTTGTTTTCCGAAGTCCGCCTACGTCTGGTGGGCGTGGGTCACTGGTGCACGAGAGGAGAGTTCCAAAGAGCACGACAAGGCTTCCTGGACACTCACGTGGACTGCCGTGAGTGCGGGAAACACAGCTCCGCAGCAAACAACTCTGCAGGCCAAGAAGCAGAAGCGGAAAACGGAGAGTGAAGAAGGCTGCAGACTCAGCCACACCAGTCACACCAGCTTTACTATCTCTCATTTCGAGCGGGTTCATAGTAGTTGCTGTCTACGGTCTCAGCAGCCTTGGTGCAAAAACAACTTCCAGCCTGGACAGAGTGTCAAGCGGCAGGAAGCAAAGAGAAATCAAGCCAGAGCAGCCCAGAGAGCCGGGGCAACAAAAAGAAAAGGATCGGCCAGACACGTTTGAGGGAGGCATAGGGGCTCAGTATGGGTTCAGTATTGATGGTTGACGATGGTGCATTGAGATGTGTGCCAGCTCTCAGCACTTTTCAATTCGGCAGCACAGTCTGTTTGCAAGGAGGAAAGCCAGCTCCGATGAATCTTAAGTGCCGCGGAGACCACATGTCCTCCCTCGAGGGGCGAGAAAAAGCGCTGCCCAGCAATCGAGAGCAAGCTTCCTGGCGGGTTGTACTTCGCTCGGAAAGAGCAGTGGAGCCGCAGATCTACTGCACAGTGCTGGCAAGTTCTTGACTTGATGGATCAGCAAGCACATGGGAGTGCATATACTACGAACAGAAGGGACAACTTGAAGTCTGGTCCAGGGAACGGCCTCTTTGCGATTTGCAGACTGATTGTTTGCATATTCAACAGTCGACTTTTGGCCAGTTCTTGGGGTGCGGAAGATGTCTTTAGATGCCACTTGCAGAGAACCGTTGCCGGCTCGCTGGAGCGCGACTGCGACACACGATTCGCCTTTCGCTGGATGGACCGATGCTCCTTTTGCAGCCATGGCCTGGCTGCCGCGAACTGAGAACTCTGCCATGCGAAAGCAAAAATGCTTTCTTTGTCTGCAGCTCGTCTCTGAGGTTTCTGGGGAGAATGGCCTTGTTAGCCTTGTGCAGTGGCCAGGTGAGCACCCGAGTGAGAGCAACATGACTTGAGTGCAACCAGCTTCTTGTGAACCATGCTCAAATCACCCATCTAATTGAAGCTTTGCGCAGGATGATGTCTCGCAGCGGCCTCTGCTTTTGCACTGCACCGGGGTGGAGGGAGTTGCACATCTGCGATGATGCAAGTAAGATCGGAGCGGTAGCCTTTCTGAGCGTTTGTCTTGGGAGCTTGTCCATCCCGCAGCCAAGGAGACCGCACTTCAAGTGGGGACAGACAAAGGAGAAAGTGTTCGTCACCGTTGCCGTCTCCTGGCAGCATTTCCGGTAGCCAACCAAGCATAGTCGATGTGGAGCAGTCCCAGCTCAGGTACGCAATCTCAACCGCAGTTCCATCAGTCCCCGGCTTGCACATTCGAGCGGAGTTATGCGGAACATGATGCTGTGCTGATAACATACGAGGAGTCTTGCCCAGCAAGGCTTCCTGAACGGGTATCGTAGCGAGCCTAAATCTGAGGTGTGCACTTCGCAGCAGATCGACTTGGCTTCCAGTGTTCGGACATCGATGGGAAGGCAGTTTGACGGAATCTCCGGGGTACCGCCGCGCAGTGGGAGCAAACGGCACTCATGATCCATGGTCAAAGTAAAGGCTCAGGGTTCAGAGTCAAGGAGCTCGAACCTTGACGAATTGAAGGCTTGGGTTTAAGTGGTTTGAGAGAGCTGCTCCTGACAAACATGGACCCTTTGTTTGGCTCAACCCAGTGCCTCCTGCTCCTGTTTTTCATCCCTTTTGCTTGTAGAGTCGTAGAGTTGTGAGACCATGGTGGCCCAATTTGGATTGCTCGCCGCGTTCATTCATGAGGGCCTCACCAAGCATCGCTTGCATGATGCCTGATGCCCAGAGGGGTATTAGGATTAGGACATGACGTCGCGCGAGCACTCGGCACAGCAGCAGGTGCATTGACTCTGCGTGGGCATGGGAGTCCGCCCGGTGATGAACGACAGCTGTCCTGATACGAACAGGTGCAGAATCAACCCCCTAGTACCGGCCACGCTCCGGCGATTGAAGTGCCCGTCAACCACCGGTTCGTGTTACCACGAAGGACGGAAAGGGAGCCCGAGTCTGAGTTTGGGTTCCGCAGCTTCGTATTGCAGCCGTGGAGTTGGACAATGCGTTGGCCAAGGCACTCACTAACCGTCACTAACCTGTCCAGGATGCAAGCAGCTGCCTACTTGCAGTCTGTTCCCGGCGCTGGTTGTTACTGCCCTCGCCTGTCAGTTCGCAAGTCTTGAACGATGTTAGGGCCCAGCGGTGGGACCAGGTAGCTGCGGCAGCGTCACGAATCTGAGGCCAATAGCGGGCATACATGGGCATACTCAGTTGGCTGTCGGCTGTTTGCGGTCAGCATTGCAGAAGAGTTGCAAAGCAACGTTCGTCCCTCCCACTGTTTAGATGCAGATTCGTGCTTTCTGAAAAGTTTTTAAGAACAGCGGGAAGCGTTTGCAGCAATGACGGCCACTGCGTTTGCAAGCTAGCTGCTCCTGAAGCGCTTCTCGGTGTTCCGTACGACAGGGTGCACCACCTGGCAGGTCGAGGTGTAATCTGACAAATTGAAGTTTGCTCACTTGCTCGGTGCCAGCACACCTCGAAGAGGAGCACCTGCTCGGAGGAAGGCAGCTGCATCATCGGCTGGGCCTCTTGCTGTGGAAGCAGCACGACGGAGCTCTGCGACGAGGAAGTCCCTGAAGACTTTTGCGGCTGCTGCTGTCCGTTTTCACATCGCTACACATCGCCACGAATCGAGCGTGATGCTGGCGCTGCGCAAGCACGGCCAAAGATGCTGCAACTTGCCGATGGCCCGGAGGGCTTTGCCCCAATCGCCGTGACAACCCTGATGTTTCTAGTTTCGGCTTGACTTGAACGCGCCCTCCCTAGCGGCCTTGCGCCAGGCTTTCGCATTGGGCTTGGAGCTCGACCAGGCCCAGTTTCAAGTCCGTTCCGTTCGTGCGACAGGTATGGTTGTGCCATGAACGGAAAAAAAACACTTCAAGCATGGATAGTTCGTCCAAGCGAGGATGTAGCTCCAGACCTGAGCAGATGGGAGTTGTCGCGGCCTCAGGCAGTGCACGTGCATGTCGATAGCTTATCGCACAGGTTGTGCTGTCACCGAAAAAGATGCGGGGACGTGTCTGTCCATTTGAACTGCCAGCGGTACTCAAGCTTTGCATGAAACAGTTTACCATGTGGCGCAAAAGTGAAATACGAGCACTTGGATGAGGAGCTGTCTTGCTCTTCCCCGTAGGAGGTTGCACAGGAACCCAAAAGTGCAGAGAAGATGAGTTGCGAGTCACAGTTGGAACTTTGAGCATGCTGACAGAGGCAGATGGATCTGGAGATCGCAGAAGATTTCTGCTCGATATTCAGCGACCCTTCAGTCCACAGAGGAGTCGTGGTCGGCACGGTCAGCCGCGAGTGGACCAACTTCTGACGCCGCCCTTCACCTGGCCGAGCCTGTGCGTAGTTTCCCCCTGAGCCAGCCCAATGCCGTGGTCCGCATGCATCCACACTTTGGCTTGAAATTTGTATCTGCGAAACACCCCGATGATGTGCCATGAGCTGGAGCATGTGTGATTCCAAATCCTCATGTTGCCTCTTGCCAGTGTTCGCCCGACAACCACGAGCATCACAGCAACACGGATGCCAAGTTGCTCGCGGATTCGTGCTATCGATTCCGATCCGACAGGAAGCAACCTTCCCGCGTCTTTCTCCTTGCGTGGCTCACTCGCTCGGCCAAGAGTTGGACTCTGGACACGGAGATGCCCTGATCATGCCCATCCAAGCTTGGCAAAGTGTGTCTGTCACAGACTGCAGACGCAACAGTCCTGTATTCCAGTTTCTGATATCTATGACGCTCATCCAAGCCATGTCTGCCGCCGCCCATCGTTTTGTAGGTGCCACTCAAGACGCTTGCAAGCTGACGCCAGCAGCCACTGGTTGAAAGGCCTGCAGGCGATGTCGCTGTCAGACTGTGTTGTTGCGTGGGATCGTTGCCACCATGGTCGCCCGAGAACGTTGGGTCGTGTGACGTCGCTACAAGCTCAGTGTAGAAAGAAAGAGTCGCCAAGGACTGTCTGCGATTCCACAGCCCGTCGCCGAAGAGACAGTAGGAAATTCATCCGCACGAGGTCTTATCATTGATTGACCTGTGCGCATGGGTCTGTCGTCCCACGCCCGCATGTCGAGGTCAAGACGGCACGGCGTGCGCATCAAACAGCATGAAGCCAGGGTGGTGCTCCCTTTGTGTCGTGCTGGCCTGGAAGGTGCTCCTGGTTCTCGCAAGACGTTCACGGCCTCTACGGGCCATGGGTCTATGGAGAGAAGGGCAGTGCCAAGAGGTGTTGAATCCATACAAGCAGCGAGACTTGTTTCCCTTCAGCAGCCGGTGCTTCCCTGCCACGAAACGAGGCTTGAAAGCCCGTGCAAGAGGTCTGCAGCTTACTCCGGTCAGCCAGATCCGGTGTACGCCCAGGCTATCCAGAAAGGAGCGCTGGGGCGAGCCAGCCAGAAGCTGATTCACGCAGGGCAAAGAACATTGTGTGGACATTTGTAGGTTCGGACATTGTTTGATCTCGCTCGCAGGTCCTGATGACCCTCACGAAGATTTTCCCGGCAGCGCCCAGCTGAAACTCTGTGCTTGGCGGAGGTGTTTACATGATGCGGTCTGCATGAGGCCATGTGGATTTGGATTTTTTACGTCAAGCTCAGGCCTGGCCTGCTCTGGTTCACGACCCCCAGAACTATCGGCAGGACCTTCCTAGCCTTGACGCGCTGTGCTAGCAGTTGATACGCTGACAGGTCATGGATCGAGATTGGTCCAGAAATGATGACAAGCTTGAAACAGCGGAGGCAGCGGTAAGCACCTCTGGCTTGGAAGTTTTGGCATTTGGGAGTTGAGCCGCCTTGGGGCCCTGCCTCGCTTTACGCAAATGGATCACCCCGGCTGTTGTTGTTAGTAAATACTTCTTCATATCGTAGCTTGCTCAACATACTTTGTGCTTTACGGCACGGATTTTGCCAGTTTCCAGTTTTGCTGACAGGACGCTTTCTTTGAGGAGCATGCAGAGTGCCCAGGGGTGGGCTGTCCCATAAAGATGTACACTTCTTGTGGTCAGTTCCTTGTAGCACTGCAGCTGCAACAACTCTGCAAGTCGTGCGGTTCGCCCGTTCGCCAGCTTTTCGCTTGAGTGCTTTGGTTCCTTGCCTTCGCGACAAAGCGCTGCCGATCTGGACGCCTCGAGCTTCTACCGCCGGAATGCAAATTTTCGTGCCGGCCTCAGGCTGAAATGCTCCAGATTCTCTAAGGGTTGTCATGTAGCAAGCTCATGCGGTTTGCACGGCATTCATGGCTCAGTCTTTCATGTTTTGATGTTGTTCTGAAGTTGACAGCTTTGTTTTCTGACAGCCTGAAGCACGAGCCTATTGCCGCACACAAAGAAGGGATCCGCAAGTTCGTTTGTTGAGATGCTACATTCTAGCTGCGATCAGAGTCGCACCGGGTTGAATATGCAAAGTGTACCCTGTGCATTTCTTGACTTGCAGCCGCAATATGTTGCAATGGCTAGACTTGTGTAATAAATACACAGAGTAGGAAGAAATATATTTTGACTCTGACCATTTCGTGCTGGAGACCCAAATCAAAACATCTGCCCTCATATTCAAACAACATGATAAAGAAAAGACGGCTAGATATTACAAACCAACTAAAGACAGATGGGTGAAATACAACAAATACATCAACGAGAATCTGACAGGCAGTGACGCTGTATCTTTACACCTTCTGACTACCGTCATAACAGATGCAGCGCAGACATGTTTGGACAGAATCCCATTGGACAAGAAAAAGCCATATCTATCTAAGGAAACATGGAATAAGATTAGAGCGCGCAATGACATGAGATCCAGCGGAGCTACGAACAAAGACATCAGACAGCTGAACAAGGATATAGCAAAATATGCAAAAGTTGATAAACAGAGAGACCTCATAGACAGATTTAAAGACAACCCTGATGATAAGTCAAAGAAAAAGATGTGGAAGGCAGTCAAAGATCTACGGAAAAAGTTTGTGCCACAGTTTGTGAAAATGAAGAATCAAACGGGAACACATGTACCACTCGTTCAACGTGCGGAAACCATAGCCGAATATCTTGCGAATGAACATTGGAAAAACATGTCTCAGGAGATTTCCAACATTTCAAAAATTGTGGAAGACAATAACGCGCCCACTGGACATTTCTCTTTACAAGAATTGAATGATGCAGTCAAAACTACGAAGTCAAACAAACAACCGGGACCGGATGGCATCGTCATGGAGCTAATTAAGTGGTTGCATAGAGATAACAGGTTATTATTCCTTTCATTGATTAATACTTGGTGGGAGGATAGGAAGGCGCCGCAAGACCTCTTTTACGCTAGAGTGGTCCCTATTTATAGAAAAGGGGATACTGATGTTGCTGCAAATTACAGACCTATATCGCTATTAAACAGCACCTACAAAATCTACATGATGATGATCCGGTCCCGAATGCAAACTGCAGTTTCCCAACACATTGCAAAGACTCAATTCGGTTTCCGAACTGCTATGTCGACAGCTCACGCTATATACATTGTTAGACGTATTCAGGATTTCGCAGAATCGACTTCATCAACATTGAGTCTTGCATTGTTAGATTGGGACAAGGCTTTCGATAAAGTCCAGCATGATAAGCTTATCGTAGCTTTGAGAAAATTGGGGTTCCCTGATCAGTACTTGGATGTGATACACGACTGTTATCGAAAGCCAGAGTTTTATGTCAAAGACGAATACGGTATCTCCCAAACGAAAGTACAATCATCAGGCATCCGGCAAGGATGTCCTCTCTCACCCTTTTTATTTGTTATGGTCATGACTTGCATAGACACAGACATCAGAGAAGCCGTCAGTTGCCATGTTGTTAACAATCGAATTCCAGGTCTTGACTACGATATGATTTACTATGCAGATGATACCATCCTCTTCTCACGATCAAACCGGGGACTGAACGAGCTTCTCAGTCTCACAGGAAGAATCTCTAAACAGTATGGTTTGCACCTCAACAGAGGAAAATGCGTGGCGATCCCTATGAATAATGACGGAAAGATTCACTTTGCAGACGGCTCTGCTTTAACGAAGAGCTTTGAGGCGACATATTTAGGCAACGAGCTCAACCAAGAAGTGAACATTCAGCATGAAATATTGAGCAAGATTCAAGAGGTTCGCCGCACCTGGTTTAAGCTCAGTTCGTATTGGAAAGCAACATGTGCCAGCAAGAAGTGGAAATTAATCGTATTCGATGCCATTATTCGAAGTAAGTTGTTGTATGGTTTGGAAACTGTTCACTTGACTCTAGCCATGTACAAGAGAATTGATGCTTTCCAATACAGATGTCTGCGTAAAATTTTAGGAATGCCCTCTACTTTCATTAATAGAGCCAACACGAATAAGAAACTTTTGCAGGCTGCTACAGCAGCAGCTTTTCCGACAAGGGGTGACCGCAGGGAAATATCATCATTTAGCAATTACCATCAAGAGCGTAGGGCGAAATTGTTGGGGCATGTGCTTAGATCGGGTAATGAAGATCCTATGCGACAAGTTTCGTTCTTGCCAGACACTGCTTGTAGAGTTGACTATGGAAAACGCAGAAGTGGTCGCCCCAGACAGAACTGGCTGCATTTCTCCAAAAAGTTTGTCTATGAGCAGAAGTTATCCAAAATTAACTTTACTGGTTCTTGTTTTGAAGACACAGCTATTTACGAAGCAGCTCACAGACGAGAATTTTGATGCGAAGCTTATCTCTCCGCAGCTGCGCCAACGCCTTGCGCCTCACCGGCTGATTGGGTCAGTGCAGGGTATGGCTAGGAAAAAAAGACTTGTATTATTGGCGCTGAGGTCAAGACCTTGACAGGGAAAACGATTACCTTGGACGCGGAAGCAAGCGACACAATCGACAATGTGAAGGCTTGACTGTAGCACGGTGCCTTAAACAAGTTTGCTGCCAGAAGCATCGAATCAAAGCTCGAGGCAAAGATCCAGGACAAGGAAGGCCAAGCTGCCACTGCCGAAGCATCTCGGAAGGATGTTTTCAGAAGCTCACCGTGCTTCAGGCATCCCTCCTGACCAGCAGCGCCTGATCTTTGCTGGCAAGCAGCTCGAGGATGGGAGAACACTGTCTGGATCCCTGATGCCAGATTGCTCGAGCAACACTGCAAACCTCATGTCTTTGCTCGAAAGTCGGGTGGACTGGGAGTTGGATCGATTCGGCGTGGCCCCGCGCTGGTTTTGGATTTGGCCTCTCGCCACCCGTCGTCGAAACCTCACAAAGAACCCGATGAGATAGTTCACGCTGACACCGTTGGGAAGAGGCGACGCCTCACAGCACAAGTCTCTGAAATGGAGTTGTGACCCTAAAAGCATTCATGAGCCGCAACACCTTGGACAGAGAGCACACGAGGGTGGTACGCTCAAAACTTGAAGAACCAACATCTGTTGTGTTCGCATTGCAGCTGTGGAAGCGGCGCTCCCGCAGTTCGAGTCTCCGAAAGAGGCTACCACAAAGGCATTGGACCGAGCCACGGGGTCAGACAGCAGCTGCAGCAGTGTGGGCGGTTCGGAGAAGCACCAATCGGTCTTTGATGGATCGAAGTCCACACCGCGTGAGGCCTTCTAGCCTGAGGGGACTGAAATCGACTCCAAAAATACGTAAAGGGTGGATCGACTCGACATGCAGAGATGTCGCAGCAGTTCATGCGTCAGCCACGTTGCTCTGATAGCTTTCGTGCCCAGAGTTTCACGCAGTCCTGCAAGGCATCAGCCTGTCTTAATGGCTTGAGTTGAAGTTGATGAAGTGAGGTCTGATTACAACATTCAGAAGGAGTCGACTCTTCACCTCGTGCTTCGGCTTCGAGGAGGTCTCGCCCTGCTGAGTCAAGTGAACATGCTATCTTGAAACTCACCGGGAGGATGCTGCTGGTTTTTTTCCTTCCTCATCATCCTTACGCTACTTGAAAGCATTGCTTTGCAGGATTTCCACAATCGAGTTGCAGACAGAGTCATGTGCGTGTCTTCGACATGTTTCCAAAGAATGTGTGCTCGAAAGCTTTCATGGCAAATGTTGGATTTCCGGCTGCAGGCTTCTACTTTTGAAGACCGTAGGCCATAGACTCTCAGACATGCACAAGAGCAAAGGATCATTTCAATGGTCTTCTTGATGCCATGCACCTGTGGAACCTCGGCATCTCGCCGGCAACACGTTGGACAAATTGCCTTCCGCGAGCTCAGATTCGGGATCTCCTTACTGGGTTGTTGAACTCCACAAAGGGTCGTTACGGGACCGCGTCCAGAAGAAGGCCATCGGCTTTGGTTGGCAGATGTTGGCAGCGAGCCGCGTCCAGGCATGCTTGATCCCGTTTCTCATTCCGCCCTTGTTGGTCTCCATCTTAGCAAGGAAGGAATGCTGCCTGGCTTTGCGTGTCACCAGCTATCAATGGGCCAATGGGCGTTTCTCAGGTCCTGCCTTGCTTCTGCTTATAGCGGCTGAGCGCAGTCGCTTGGGAGCTTTGCATAGCTTTCCACGCTTGTTTGAGGGCAAAGCTGCGCGATACCAGGGGATGGTTCTGTCAAACGGGCAAGACCTTCCTAGCGGGACACGCGTGTCTCTCAAAGGAACACTCAGATTTAACTGTTGCTGCCTTGATTTTCCACAGAGGCCGAGCTTCAGTCTGAGATTCTCTTTGTACAGAAGAGGAGACAGTCGGATTGCCGGGGCATTGCGAGGGCAAGCCAGCTCACTGGGATTTCCTGGTCCTGATGCCATTCTCAGCTTCTCAACGCATCTTTCCAGTTGAGCGTGCCGTAGGCACCTGACATTGACATGAACTGAGAGTCCGAATCCGGCGCCAGTCAGTGCGCAGTGGCACTGAAGAAACAAAAACATGCGATAATTAGGTCCTACAAAGAAGCAGAACAGCCTTGTGCCTTAGCAATGAGCAGACGTCCATCAATCTGTAAAGGAATCCGCCTGGCCTGCCCTCTGCTCCAATGCACTGGCA